AGGCCACTTTTCTAGCCACCGACATCGCCTTCCTCCTCATTCCTCCCAACCGTATCAAAACACTGCAAAACACATCATAGCTTTAAGTAATACAGAGAATAGAAAGGAGGAAAAAAATCATCTTTCTCGATAAGAAAACCGGAAAGAGTCAATGGTTAGGCATGAAAAAAGACCAGAATTTTTACAGTGCAACGCACAATCTGACTTACGATGTCCCGATAGTACATCTTTGGGCCACACCTTGAAAAGTTTCAAGCAAACAAATACCGAGGTGAATCGAATAGAAAGTGAGAAAGATAAGAACGCGCTAGAGTAAATAGGAAAGAGAAAGATCGAGAGAGAGAGAGAGAAAGAAGGAGATGTCGAGATTGGAGGAGCATCACTAAATTACCACCGTAGAGACTTGCACGCGGGAGCCGTACCCACATGCAGGCCCGGGCCGCGCCGACGGGCCGCAGCCTCGGCAGCACGCCCACCGATAACGGAAAACGAATTGGCTAATGATAGTCTGTTTTGGCCCGTGGTCTCTTTCCCCCCCCCCCCCCACACACACACACCTCCATGGTGAGTGACAGGCGAGGCTGTGCCCGGCCCGGTCCGCCAAAGAGGTACCGGCGGCGGGGCAGCCGAAATGCCTTCCTCCCATACATCCATATCAACCACTCCGCGGCGTCATCAACCACACCACTCACTCAACCAACCCAAACAGCCGCACTCAAACAACAGCCGAGCAGGAGTTGGCGGCTGTGCGGTTGCAGCCCAACCACCAACCACAACCACCGGCGGCGGCCCCGCGGCCCTCCGCGCGGCCCGGTGGTCGGTCAGCCTGCAACACTGCTGCTATGCAAGTCAGACTAAGGCTGCTGGCTTTATAGGCTATTTGTTTAAAATTCAGAGCGCTGTTGTGAGCGGGGCGTGGCGCGGCGCGGCCGGCCTGGCCTGGAGCGCCAATCCGTTGTTGCAATAAAGAGAGAAGGGAAGAGAGCTGGCATTAGGGGCAGTTCTCTCGGCTCGGCCGCGCTGCGCTTGAAGGCGGCCGGGCCGTCAGGAGAATGTACAAGGAGCCAGTTCAATGCTGCTTTTTTTTCATCTGTCCCGCCACACAAGTGCGAAAACAACACCACTACTTCACGAACGCGAGCGTCAGCGACAGGGCAAAGTCACCGGCGGCCGGCCATAGGTCGCAGAGGGGATATAAATGCGTTTTCACTCTTGTTGAGACGCACGCTGGAGAAAAAAAACGGCAACGCAAGTTGTGTCTCACAAGTTACTTAAAAAGAAGAGAAAGGGGTGTTGAAGTAGAAAGTGTCGAATTTTAGGCAAGAATATATTTCAAACAAACAACTGTGAACATTTCAAAAATTCAAAAATTTCTCAACCATGCATGAAGACCTTTGTGAACTTGAATGGAGACAAATTTCAATTCCACACGGAAAACAGACAGGGGCGGGGCGAGAACAGTGACCTTGATCCACTCAATGCTCGCTCAATGCACTAAATGCCTCAAGAAGGACATCCTCTCCACGCGACCAAGGCAGAAATGCAATAT